AAACAAATCCCAAAAACATTATGTGTGCATGTGTATACATATTTTCCCCCAATATTTCTACCAAAAAAAGCTCTTTAAAGAAAACAAGAATGCAACAAAAGAAACTGGAAATTTATTTTAAATGGATCTGTGGAACGGATCACAATGATCACTGACTATAGAAAATAAGTAAAATTCCTGTCTCTTCACGAAATGTCCCCATCTGTCTAAAAAATATGAAAAGCTTTCTGTGTCCTGACTCAACTCTTCCCTGAACTCAAAAGTTATACAAAGCCAAAATAGTAACCAAAAGCTAAGTTTCAAGTAGTTTTGCCCAGGGTGCAGGCGGCGGGGAAACTAAGAATAAACAGAAGGAAGGTGAGATTTCAAGAAGCAAGTAATTAAACAGAGATTTTCTATAATATAAAATATGGCTAAGACACTTAAAGAGCACTGCAAATAATGTAACTATACAAACCTACTCCCTCCGAACCCACTGATAAGCAAATAACACCTATGCTTTGAAAAACTACTCTGAATACATCTTATTTTAATTACATTTTGGCAACTCATATTTTAGCCTTTGGAAAGCCTGGTTAAGATTCTACAGCACTGCTTTTCTTTTGAAAGCTTAATAATTGTGTCGAACAGTCTACACTAGTATTTCTTGCTCTCATACCAAACCAAAAAAACCAAACCTGCTGCCGTCAAGCCAATTCCGACTCACAGTGACCTTATACTAAACCCGTATAATAAAAAATAAAACAATTTTCAAATAACAATTTTCTCCTACTGAAATGAACAAAAAAGCTAAAAGCTTTGTGTGTGTGTGTGTGTGTGCATACACCACTTCAATTTGTGCACTCCCTTCGTAATTACACACGCTGCACACATGAATACTAAGTTAGGCACCACTTCTTTCCTCTAACTGCATTTTAGTCGTACAATACAGTCTTCATACTTCATTTTGAAATAAGCCTATTTTGAAGGCCAAGGATCACCCTTTGTGACTGACTTAGAGAGAGAAATAAAAAATGTGTATACTACAAATATAAAAATTATGGATTTGGCTCTAATGCAGAATAAAGTAAGCTTCTTATATCACCTGCAATATTAAACTGATTAAGTCTGTTGAAAAATAAGACAGTGAGTTATTGGATCTGTGTTTAATTCAATGCACTTTATAACATATTTAAGGAATTTGGTTGTATAAAACAGTATCTGAATCTTATCAGATGAAAATATTTTTCCCTTTTTGCAGGCCTCAGGTTGCAAGTCTGAGAAAACAAATTAGTCTCTAGTTCTCCTAAGTTTGATAATAGTGCCCCCTAATGGGAATTTTAATATGAATTTTTCTACTCGTTTTTAAAAAGGATATATTCTCCAATGTGAGCAGTTACTCACTTTCAACTAGAAAGTAAATTCTGTAACATAAAAGTATATAAAGATTTAAACTACTCAAAGGAGAGTTACCACATCTGTAAAAACAAATCATAAATTAATGGTGAGAAACACACGAGAGAAACTTCATGCCAAATAGTTTTCTAGGTTGGGAATCATCAAACTATCCTAACATAATCCAAGGTAGCGCTACTCAACCACTTTCTCTTATAAGGAAATTATCCTTCTCGTTATGTTTTTAGTACTCAGTGAGCAACTAGTATGTACTAAACAAGAGACACTACAGAGTCAGAAAAAACTGGTTCAGAAGTTAAATTATTTAGTGTCACACAACTCCTAACTATAGAACTGGGAGTCCTAACCAAGTTTTTTTTTTGGTCACATTTGTTGTTGTTGTTATTAGGTGTCATCAAGTTGATTTCAACTCACAGCAACCTCGTGTGACAGAGTGGAACTGTCCCATAAGGTTTTCTAGGCTGTAATCTTTACAGGAGCAAACTGCCAGGTCTTTCGCCCGCAGAGCCGCTGGGTGGGTTCGAACCACACCAGCAGGGCTCATACCATTACCTTTCCACAATGTCTGGTCACAGGTCTGCAACTGTGACTTTAATGCCTTTCTTCTCTATGATCTACAGACAATTCTCATAAACATCAACTACTCAAATTAAAAAAGAAAAAACACATCAAAATTAAGGCAAAAACTACCTATTCTGATACCTTCCAGGTGTGCCAGTGAAACAAACACCCTATAATACCACTATTTTCATTTCAGTGCCCACAATACATTCTGGACTCAATGTTATGGTCAAAGTCAAAGGCCATATCTAGAAGAAATAAACAACAAACACAAAGCCACCAATATACAATGTAAAGAGAGAACTATCACTTTATTCTTTAACCTTAGTAAGAGAGAAAGAACAGCAAAGAGTAAGAAAAAGTTATATATAAAATAGGAGTTGTCAAACTTTCTTAAAGGGCCAAACAGTAAATATGTTAGGCTTAAGGCCTATATAGTCTCCGTCACAACTACTCAACTATGCCATCGTAGTAGGAATGCAGCCATAGAAAATACATCAACAAATGGGCATGACAGTGTTCCAATAAAATTTTAATTACAAAAGCAGGTGGCTAGCCCTTGGATTAGTTTCCTAATCCCTAATTTAAAACTTTTACTAACATTTGACTTTTGGACCACAGATTAAAATTCTCCACTTTACATGAGGTACCAAATACAAACAACAACAACAAAAAAAGCCTAAGCAACTTAAAATATATCACCGCTAAAGTTATAAAATACATGGCAAGCATTTTACTTGCATAACGTGAGTGGAAGAAGAAAAAATCCCTTCCCTGAATAAACATCAGTTTTAGTGGGTAAAAAATAACTAAAAACCATAAGCAAACAGTATGTCTTTAGCATGATTTAAAATAATCAACATATAGCACTATAATGGGAAATCTTAGTTTTTATCTAGATTTGATAAAAATCTAAGGGTAACTACATATGAATGTCCATTAAAGATAGAATAAATGTACTAGGTAATAGAACATAAAATTCAAACCTATTATATATACAGGAACCCTAGCTACGGCTGCTAACCAAAAGGTCAGCAGTTTGAATCTACCAGTCACTCCTTGGAAACTCTAAGGGGCAGTTCTACTCTGTCCTATAGGGTTGTTATGAGTTGGAATCGACTCAACGGCAATGGGCTTGTTTTCTATATGAGGCTATGGAGAAATATATTTTCTTAAATTGCCTTAGTTTTTCACATGTGTAACAAAAATGACACCCCATTAGCTCCTAAGGTAAACCAAGAAAAACAAATTTAGTTGTTTTACACAAAAAGCAGATTACAGACATCAAACAATGACAACCTACACTCAACACTCTTTAATAACTGGCTTACACTTCATGAAGTGTCTGAAAGCAACACAGTATAGTGAAAAACCACAGCATTTTGACCTGAGCAGCTGCAGGTTTCAAACACTATTCTACCAATTTCCTAGTTATGTGATCTTAGACAAGTTATTTATCACGCTAAGGATCAGTTTCCTAACCTGGAAAAGGAGGCTGACAAGATCTCCAACTGTAGAGAATAACAAAGGATTATAGGGCAATGTGCATATAGTATAGTACACAACATGCAATGCCCAGCTATTTGTTTTATTATTTAATGCTAAACTGAAGTTTCTCCTTATCTTAATGTTGTTATATCATTTTAATAAGCTTCTTAAAGTGTATGCTAGTGCAGTCACATCTTGGTCAATTACCTCTAGCCCATAAGAGAAGTTAGCTTCTCCCTTATGGGCTAGATCAAGCCTTTAGAGTTAATAATACAATTTGCTTTGTTAATGGTACTATAATTCCACTGAACAGTATTTCTTGTTCATACTCTAAACTTAAAATTTTATAAAGTAAAATTAATTACCTAGGAAAACTGTGTGACAGAATGCAAAGTGTTCTGGAATGGATTTTACTCCGAATTGTGCCACTAATCTGATAATTGAACAAGTCACTTCAAAGCTCCTTGCCTGTAAACCAAAGAAACTAACAATCCTTTATCTTCCAGCTCTAAAAACATTATTACTGAATTACAATTAAGCATGCTAGATATACTGGTGAGTAGGGGAGTAGAGATATCCTAACACTGCCAGAACTGACTGCAGAGAAATCTCAACCTTAATCGTGTCCGAGGTATAAATATTATAGTAATTCAGACTAAAAAAAGAGAGTATGGCCAATAAACAAAGAAAAGAAAAGAAGAGAAGAAACAAAAGGAAAAGGAAAAACAAAGGCATACTACATAAAGGCTTTAAAAACTGCAAGTACCTAGAACTAGACTTGGTTGGTTTCTAGAGGTATTACACTAATGCAAAACTGATTTGCAGGCCGAATTGCAATACCAAGGTATTAACCTTAGAAAGAATATAATTTGTGTCTCTTATATGTTCAAGGTACTATGAGAATGTAAAGTTAAATGAGATAAGTAGTATTTTATCAAAGTTGAAAGGGATCAGTTAAAACAGTTGTACATAAAATGAGCTCTGGGAGTTCAGACAAGTTAGCAATTATTTTCAACTAGATTAAAAAATATATATTTTAGGATCCTGACCTTGGCCTTTGGTATAAGTTTTTACCAACTACAGGCCTTTGCTAGCAAGGCAACTACACTGTAGTACAAAAATAAAATGCTTCTAAAATAAAAATAAATTAGAGGTGAGTCTTTTTTTCTGAGGCAGGCAGCTCAACTCATCTCTTCTTAAACACTGATTGGGTCAAAATACTAACTATAGAAAGGATGGATGTTATTAATGATGCCTATCCTTCACAATGCAAGTTATTCGGCAAGCTAATTTCATAATGGGAAAGTGAAATATTCAAATTATTATAAATCAGAATCACAAATTCCAAATAATTAAAGGTCAAACCAGTGAAATTTATTACATAAATTCTCATTTCGAAAATGTTTGTAATTTTTCTAAGAAAATTAGAAATGAAGTGAACTAAGCCAGTCTTGATAAGAGAATCCTAATAACAGATTATCAAACATTACAGTGCTAATTGTGTTAATACCTATTTGTAGGTACTGAAAAGATACACTTGAGATAAACACCCTTACCTTCATCAAAATCAGCATCATCCTCTGTATGCTGGGGGAAAGGAAAGCAGTTGGTAATTTCAAGCCGATCTTCTACAACCAGGCCCAAAAGCACTCCTTGGACAACTTCAGTTCCTTGTCCTTCTTCTTGATAATGTTTGATTATTTTTAATACCACCTAAAAGAAAATAAAGGAGCTTAATTTTATTTTTATAGTTTATATTTCCTTTATTTCTGAGAAAAAATAAATCATACTAGTGTGTTTGCAAGACCACAAAACTATATAACAGGATTAACCAAATTTCTTATAAATCACTTCCTTTACCCTTACATAAATAACAAAACTCACACAGTCCAAATGTACATCTGAAACTCTGTAATGCAAAACTGATTTGCAAGTCCAATTGCAATACCAAGGTATTTACCCTGGTATGTCGAATGTCAAAACGGTATGTACAGGCAGTCCCTGGATCACGAATGTCTGATTTACAAACAACTCATACTTAAGAACGAACTGCCATAAGGCCTATTATATTAAAATTCTGAATTAAATACGTACAATAGCTCATAATAACGAATGAACTCAGTACTCTGTGACATGTCAAAATGCTGCGCAGTTTATAAGTGTTTCACATCCACAGAAAGGTAAAATATATACTAAAACATTTGACTAAATGACGCTAAATACGAACCATATGTACCTGTTCAGACTTACCTACAAATTCGACCTAAAGACAAACTTACAAAAGGATTTCCTTCGTAATCCGGGGACTGCCTGGATGTCAAAATGTTAATATACAGCACTCATGACTAAGTAGCCAATCAACCCTCAGGTCAAGACTTCTCAAGGGGCTCTGGGACCCAGGAGTTCCTTTGGCCAAATCAAACAGTACCCCCTTATCCTGAGGTTATTATTGAGAAAGTGCTCAGTAAGCTTTTGCTTACAGGAAGATAACATCCTGACCTAGATGATAAAACTACCATTAAGACACAGAAAAAAAGACCTCAGTTATCTGGACATCTGAAAGCAGAACCCTCTAACAAATTCTCAACTTGCCTTCCTGAAAAGACCATATTAGCCATACAAAGCAACAATGGGAATGTGTGTCCAACAAGAATCTGGTTGGTAATCAAGAACACAAAAAAAACACAGGCTCAAATACTACCTAGTTGTCCTCAACCAGAAAGAAAAATTAAATAACTTGTAATGGAAGAAGTACAGCCAGAATGCTCCTTAGAAGCGAGAATGGCAAGACTTTATCTCCTGTACTTTGGACATGTATGTTATTAGGAGGGACCAGTCATTGGAGAAGGACATCATGATTGGTAAAGTAGAGGGTCAGTGAAAGAGAGAAAGACCCTCCACAAGATAGACTGACACACTGACTGCAATGATGGGCTCAAGCAGAGCACCGACTGTGAGGATGGCATAGGACTGGGTAGTGTTTCATTCTGTTGTACATAGGGTCGCTATGAGTAGAAACCAACTCGACGGCACCTAACAGCAACAACAATGGAATAATCAGCTCTTACATTACTCTCTCCTCTAACATTTCAAAAGATAAAGGAGGCATGAATGTACATGGCTGAATAGGCAATTAATTTAAAAGTTCATAATAACAAAAATAGTAGAGTCATTAATAATAACCCCTAAAACATGCAGTAGTTACTATGTAAAGTGCTTAGAATAGTACTTGATACATAGTATTTACTAATAGTGTTATTATCATTATTATTTAAGTCCATGGCCAGAAAATCTAAAGGTTCCTGGATACTCAATGCTATTGATGAGATCACTGAACCACTGCTGAAATAAAATGCAACAAACAGTCAAAGATACAACGGAAAGTACTCAGAGGAAAAATATGTCTAACAATAATATGAATGTTTGTTAGCATTTTATTGATTAGTATTCCATTTAAAGCAAAGGCTTTCTTGATAGAAACAGTATTACCTCAAACCAAACCAAACCCATTGTCATCTAGTCAATTCCTACTTAAAGCAGCACTATAAGACAGAGTAGAACCATCGCATAGGGTTTCCAAGGAATGGGTAGTGGATTCGAACTGCGGGCCTTTTGGTTAGCAGCCAAGCTCTTAACCACTGCACCACCAGGGCTCCAGAAACAGTATTAATAACCATTTAATAACAACAGGTTACATGTATTGACCATTATGTGCCAGGCAATATTCTAATAATTTTACATCTACTATCAAATCATGTAATTCTCACAACCACCTTATGAATTATTATATTCATTTTACAGATTAGAAAATTGAGGCAGAGAAAAATTAAGTAAATGGCTAAAGGTCACACATCTAGGAAGTAATATAGCCAAGATTTAAACACAGCCAAATTCCAAAGCATGTATGTTTGCTTTAACTTCAGTAACGAGGAAATGGTTTTCATATCAGTAACTCAATTAAGAATTAAAATGGTGAGTGATCAATAGACACAAAAAGACTTCACATGGATATGATGCAGATCTCCTAAGGACAGCAAGCAATCAGCAGGGAAAATTGCTTACTACAGAGGAGAACCAACTGCTAAGACTGGCAGACCTTCAACACAGTGAAATGAAATAAGTGCACAAACCTTACAGATTCCTGTATAAAGGGCCTCTCCACTTCTTGAAAGGCACAAAAACAGGCTTTAGAGTCGTGCAGGTATAGGTATGACTCCTAGGTCCAGCACTTACTACTAGTAACCTTGGGAAAGCTATTTTATCTTCATCTTCTTAAGCGCCAGACTTCTAATCTGCAAAATGAAGCTGTTTCATAGCATTGTTGACACTACCAAAAATGAGATAATGTACAGAAAGTACTTCACCCAGGGCTCGCCAAGTAGTAAGTGCTCATGAATGATCAATATTATTGATGCTGTCAATAAAAAGAAAGCAGAACTATTTAGTTCCTATTCAACTTATCTCTCTACCAAGGAAAATTATTTTCACACTTAAAAAATAGAATAAATGTATAAACAAAACTGCTGAAGAGTTAGTATGAACACACTAACCAGCTGTAAATGATTTCAAGTCACCTAGTTTAGGTTCCCTAGGTTCCTTGATACTCAACACTTAACCCAGTTGATAAGATCACTGAACCACTGCTGAAATCAAAGTGAATGAGAAAATGCTAAAAGACATATGAGCTTAGTGTATATCTCTGGAGAAATCTTTGGTGGTTGCTACATGTGCAAAAAGCAATACTGATAACTAGAAGCCGGCATAGTTTCAAAAAGAAGTTAGGCCAAAAAACTTTCATTTCCCTTTATAAATAAAATAGTAATGAAAAATATATATATTTTTTAAAATGAATTATCACAGTTAAAAAGATCTTATATTAAAACACTGTCTTAACTTTTAAAGGGATTAGTGGGGCAATGTAAGCAAATAGCACATCAGGCTTGATACGTCTGCCCAAAAGCCAATGCAATTTTATACAGTATTAACAAAACTACAGAGCTTCAAACATGATCTCACTCTTTTCAGCATCCCTGAATTGATGTGTTCAGTTCTATTCTATGATCACAGACAAAAGTTCCCAGTAAAAGTACTCAACTGAGAGATGGAAACAAAGCACAGTAGTTTGACTATTTGCTACAGACAATCAACATAAACACATAAACACAGAAAAAGGGTAATTTATAAGAGAAAGCTGAAAACCTTGTGATGAGGACCAGTTCAGTGAATTCAAATCTCTCCCAGGCTAGGGACACTCCAAATAGCTGAAAGGTTATCAAGTACTAGAGGATTAGTCTTACTTTAAAAGGCAAACCTAAGGACCACAGATGAAAGCTTCAGGAAGATTTCAATTTTAAGGGTGAATTCTCTCTAGCATTCACGGCTGTTTAAAATCGGAACTAGACATGTCAGGCCTTTAGGACAGGCTTAGTGATCACTAAAATAATTTCCAACTCTATTATTTATGATCTTGCCTTTTTAATATACTCTGATGAAACAAAACACTCGGGAAAAAATAGAAAATCATTATTATCAAAACTAAGCTGACTCATTCTTCATTTTGACATTTTATGGTCTATTTCCTACATACACACTAAAATTTCCATGCTTTAGTTCAAAATGTAATGTCATGGAACAGCATTACAACTTGAGAGTAGGAACCATTTACATGTCAAAAGGACAGTTAATTCCTGATCAGAAGTAACTAACTGACATACATGCTTTTGATATTCTATATGAATAACCAAGAATTTGATATATACATAAAAAATGTTGCATAGACTACTGGTATCTATAAGTGAGACAGAATCCTATGTTCTGTTCATTGTCTCTTCCCTTTTAAATGTTCTCATAAAACGGAGGGAGGGTTTACTCACCACCACATCCCCATAACCTAACACAGGTCCTGCCACAAAAAAGATATTCAAAATATATTTGAATGAGTGGTAGACATTTACTTATCACTAACAACATGTCAAGCACTCCACTAAGTGCCTTACATGCAATGACTCACTAAATCCTCACAACCACCCTCTGAGGTCAATAAAATTACTTTCCCCATTTTACATATCAGAAAACAGAGATAACCTAACATAAAAGTATTAAATCATTGAGGTGAAATCTGACTTCTGACTCCAAGGCATTTTAATCACTTCACAGTGACTGAGTAATTTTAGAGGCTCCAAACAAGACTGAAATAGCTAGGATGGAACAGAGATGCTCTGGAAGAAGTCTCCGCGCTGGGGCTGTGGAAGCAGGACCTCCTGCATAGAGCATTAAAAGGTTAACAGAGGGCTACAGGGTCAGGCAGCAAAAGGCTGCGAGGGAATAATGATGGTGGTCAGATTTTTGTGCCCTGGTCCTTATAAGTTAAGTAGCATCAACAGAAAACTGCCATTCGTTGCAAGAATGCAATACGGCTTTCAATCTTTAGCACTATTCTCACAAGCCACAAGATGGGAATGTTCCCCAACAAAAGTCGTGTTTCAGTCATGCTCACTCTTTCATTTTCTCTTTCCACCAACCATATGCCTCTGTCCATAAAACAGTGCTGATATATCTTTTAATTAATCCTGTTTATTGATGTCATGCTCTCTGTTCTTACTTTTAAAAACAGGTATTTGGAAAGCATAATAGTTCTCCAAAACAAAAACACAACCCATAGTATTTTTGTTTATACATGTCACAAATGACTCCACACACACAGAGACCCTATA